TATTTTCTTTACAAAATATACTTCGAAAACAATTTACCTGTGTGCACACGTGGGTAAGTTTCAATAGCAATATACTAGGTACGTTCAAAGACTGCAACAGTTTAAAGCAGCGTCAAGTTTTCTACTCTAGCAACACCGTGCGTAGGTCGCCCGGTGTCCGATTACAAACGCTCCTAAATTTACCTTAGCCAAGCTACTGCCATTAAAAGCATTTATGTTATATTGGATATCACAATATTATCAGGAGTAGAGTTACTATCTTTGACCGTTCACCGCTTTGTTGGTTGGCTTTTGTGAGCATGGTGTCTATACGGTGATATCGAGAGGCCGCATTCTGCCGCGATGTTTTAAGTTCGATTACTAGCTTCAGCTACCGGCTTCCCTCGCGTTACCCTGAAGAAAAGTAACCTACTTAAGTGTTATTCCAGAATATTATTTTTTCCAAGGTTGCGAAGAAAGCGCAATAAGGCACCGCGCCCTCGGCCTAGAGCAGAAGAAGGAACGGGGGTTCTTACTCCTTTTCGGGTTTTTAGTCATTAAGAGTCTGACACTCCCTCTGGCGCCTTCATGTGACGAAGATCCTGTGTCAAGTCAATTGATGATTTTCCCCTCACAAATAAAATAGACTACTTTATCTAACGCTGTGCTAATTTCCAACAAATCTCATTCGGAACTTAAAACAAAAAAAGACTATCCATCCCACTATCGATATTGACAAACTGTTGCGTTTATTAAATTAGTAGGATTTAATAAAAAGTTACAACTTTCGGAGTCTGTTTTTTTTCTCTGTAGACCGCCTTACGCTTCTATTTGTTAGGACAATATTGTTAACTAGCCACTCGCCCCTGCTTCACACGGGTCTCCAACCGTTTGCAATGTCCCGTAGGTATTCCCCGCTCTACTTTTCATAAAAACCTTCTCCTGACAATAATAAACTCAACAAAAAAAAGGATTGGCATAATTGGTCCTCACGTTTTTGTGTTACGCGCTTATCAACATATTTTGCGATCCATTTTTATATATAAAGAAGATATGTTGATGTTTTAGCTGATGTTTCCAGAAAAAAAATGTGATATCGTATTTATTTGTGAAAAACTAAATACCCTCCGGCTCTTTTTAAATCTTCCAGATGTATGTTTTTACATAGGTTTATTTGTAAACCAACTACTGAACCCTGAATGTTTGCGTTCCAAAAACCACAAGTTTAGTTTTTCATATTTGTAGGTATCGCGTGCTACGGGCACGAAATGGGAGATGAATGAAAGAAGAGAAAACATTCGTTAGTGTTGTTGCTAACAAAGTTTTATCTATAAATCTAGGAAAAGTAAATGTCAATTCAGTACCTACGTACAGTAGGATGAACCATAGATAATCAAATAATGGGTGTTTTGGATGCCTTTGGTATTAATGTTTTAAATATTTATATGTTAAATTCTAAGGGTGAAGTCAAAGTAAAAAATAAATTTCGTAGTGACTTAGTTACAGACACGGCGACGACGACCGTGAATCGTGACATTTCAAGTTACCAAGTTGCAGCTCATTAATCGTAAAACTGAATAATGAACCTACATACTTATAGTTTAAAATCATACAAAATATAATTATTATAATTAATATTCATAGTCACACCAAGGAAAACATCATCAAAATATATGCAAATGAACATTATGCGATACCTACCGACTCGTTAGCCGTTACATTTAAAATCGAAATATTAATTAATCGAACATCCTGGTTTTACGCGCCTAATTAATATTCCCCAGTAAAGATATATTCGTAGTTTCAGTAACATAAATGTTGAATAATGGCCGTCCAGTTTTGCACGTTCCTTGTGCATGTAGGGTGCGTTCAGAGTATCGTGTTTTCACCGGTGATAATTATTACGCAACGCAATGCTGGCAACACAAACGCCGGCCGTAAATTGAAACGCGAAAGCTCACATACACTGGAGTGTGGTTAGATCATTATTAGAAACTGGGATTTATTGATTTAATTACGAATTTGATTCTGTTTTGCGTTGTTTGATGTTTAGATTTATTAATGAAGGTATTAATTTAATGATAATGTCAGTGTACATTGATGACAGTAGGTACTAGTAGAATTTGTGAACGTTTTAACATAACACCGCGACCAAGATCAGGTACCTAGTAGGTATACTTACCTACTTACATCTGCATAACACATTAATAATCACTTTGTTGCATACCTATGTACATACATTTGTAGTACAAAACAAAGTTCTCAAACAAGTTTCTCTGTTCTTGTATCCCTATGTATACTTAAATCTTTAAAACAATGTAACAGATTTTGGTGCGGTACTTTAATAGAGTGATTGAAGTTAAAGCTTAATAAATATGTATGAGAGATTTAGCGGGCGCGCGGGCGAGTCGCTGGCAAATATTAATCTTTATTAGAATTATGGTCAAAACGTACTTTTGCATCCATTTTAGCGCTAGTGTAGCCATAATAAGTATAGCGTGAGGTGGCGAAATAAGTTTGAAGCACTACCAAAATTTTTACGAACCACACCTATTACCTACCTTATCCTTGTAGTAACTACATCTTCAAATTGTAAAATTTGTAAAGTATCTTAGCACACAGGTCATATCATGCCACCGATTAGGTAAAACGTTGCTATCTTGTTGGATCGGGTGTAATCGGACCTCCATGGGAATCGTCAAATAGTTTCATTTACCTAGAACTGAGTGCCGCTGGTATTACATAATCCTGCTTTGTAATTTATGCTGGGAGAGAATATAATATTATAATATTTATGCTTACTTCTCTTATTCTGTCTGTTTTATGTATGGGTATCTCATGAGCATTTTTTGCAAACAATACCTTATGGTCAATAATCGGCGCCGCTCATGGACATCCGCACAAATTGCAAAAGCGTTGTCTTTTGGACCGTACTATATTTAAGATGGGGGAAGGCAAGAGTTGGGCCTCCAAACATCTTATGTTTGAATCCCAAAATTTTTTGTAAAATGGTACTGAAGGTTTTAGTATTAACTTGATGCTTTATTCGCTTTTAAGGGATTCGTTTTCAATACGTTCGCTAAGATTTTTCTATCAGGTTGTAGTTTTTATTAAAGAATTGTGATTGAAGGAAAAATTTTATGATCACCTCAAAAGATAAATAATCCAATAATTTCAATTGAATCAGATACAAAAAGTACCTAATCAAATGTAAGATCCAATTTTATCAGTGAAGTGATATAATTAAAATGCCATTTCCTCTATCTAAACATTTCCATCCATCCTAGGTTTCTTTCTGTAACCAGATCCCAATTATCTTTGCTGGCGACTGGTCATCTTGCTCTCTGAAATATTAGCCGTCTCCGTAGGACGCGGGACGATGTCACCGAGGTTTGCAAGGCACAGATTAATTAAACTCAGGTTATTTTGATACTCGTGTGTCAAAGGGATATGGTTTCAGCGTAATGAAGGCATCTTCGCTCCAGCTTTGAATGTTGCCGATATGTTGCGGTTAACAAGTTTCGGTTTTAGGAATATCAATTGCTCGATGTGCTGGACTCTGTGCGGCGCTACTTAGTGTCGCTTTGGCTCTTTGACGCTTACCTACATAGTGGAAGGATATTGTATTGTAGAGAATAAATAGTCTTTTGTAACGTTCAGGAATTAGACATTTTCGAAAAGTGTGCATGGTAGCTACCTTATTGTTTATTTATCAACTATAAAATGTAAGCATCTACTCACCTTCATTGGTCAATCAGAATCTTGAGCAAGCAAGTCTGGGAGAGCCAAGCTTCGACAAGAATGGGTCGGTTCAACCGGAATGATACCACGGCCTCACAGAAAACCGGCATGAAACAAAAAAACAGCGTTGTGTTTCCCGTGTGAGCGAGTTTACCGGGGGCCCAATACTTACTTAAATATCGGAAACCCTTATCCGCAAAAGGCCGGCAACGCACTCGTAACTCCTTTGATGTTGCTGATGTCTATGGGCGGCGCTGATTGCTGACCATGAGGTAATCCGTCTGCTTGGTTGTCGTCCTATCCCATAAAACATGATTTTCAGCAATGAAATGCTTTTGGCTGGTGTTAGCAACCAAATTAAAACCTCTAAATAAAAGAAGGTAGGGGAATACGTTACTGAGACTTAACGAGATCCATTTTTATCATGAAACAAATGAGCAACGCGGGGAAATAACAATATGACACTTTTTTTTTCTTCGTTTTTTTTTAAATGGCACAGATACCTCTTGAGTTACGTGTTGTTGTTAAAACTGGATGTCTTGTATATCCATAAGAATTTATTACCACGATAGCTGGCAGTAATGTTGACTGTAAGGAGGTCATCAACGACGGCATTTATTTTATATAAATCGCTGTTTTATTTTAAAGTTTGGTTGTAAAAATAGCTGTTGTATTTGTGGACGATATACAGGCTATCATTATGCTTTTAAATTACATCAGATGTTGGTATAAATTTTGTTCTCGATTTATTGTTAGGTCCTTTTCGTATATTGTAACTTTTCAGTCATGAATACCACGTATAGGTAGTGCACCTAAGCACCTACATACAATCTGAAAGTAAAGTGAACAAAGTGTCTAGTTAGATGGACCAGCTCCTCCAATGCTTGGCTTAATTTTTAAACAGTTAGTTAAAAAATTAAGCCAAGGTAACGGTAGGTACATAGGTATATTACTATAGAACGACTACACGGCTGGCGCAATGGCCGGGAAACTGGCCGCTGCACAACGTGTCTCGGTTCCCATTCTCAAGCGAAACAATTCTTAAGATCCAAAAATTGTTGTTCTCGTGTCTGGTGGGTGTATGGTGTACGAAAAACGTGAAATTAAACATTCGTAAACGATAACACGGCATAACAGAAATGCTAGGGTTGGGTCACTTTTTTTATAAAGAAATCTATACCTACTTACAAAAACTTCCCAAAAAATATTATTTTCCTCTTATTTAATAATCACCACAAAAGATGCAAAATCAATTTACATTAAAATGTTATATTTTTCAGGATTTTGCTGAGACAGCGATGAACGAGTTGCTAGGCTGGTACGGGTACGAAAGGCTCGAGCTGCGAAGGTGGGCAGCATCAAGGGCTCGTGACGCCTCCAGTCCAGAACAAGCCAGTGAACAGAAAAATAAAGGTGTGTAGGTACAATCGCCTATTAATAATAAGAAAAGGAATAAACATAATTCAATAAGGAAGCAGTAAAACCGGAAAACAAAAAGAGCAACATCACCATTCCGCGAGCAGACCTCTTAATAGTTCCTGCAAATCAAAGTAATAGACCAAGTTACAGTGGACTGTTTGATTCACTTCCCCTAGTTTCTATTACGTTTAATATCATAACCAATAAAGTCGTATTAAATTTCTAAGAACACCAACCCTCTTCCCGTTGCAGCTGTAGTTCTGCGAATAGACGTGTTTCCGAACGCAACCCTCGCGCGCTTTCCCAATAAAAATGGCGGCAAAATGAACGAAACTCGCTGCGTGATACCACAGATTGTAATCTAATTCCTATAATTGAGTTTAATAGACTCATTTCTAAGAACTCCTTCTGTTTACGAGGTGTGATACGATAAAATTATGTGGATAAGTTTCTAGTCGTAACGCTACCACGAAACGCGATAAGATCGCTGAGCAAGAAATAGACGAAATACTGAAAGCTTTGTACGTGTTATAGGCACATAGGTATGTACATTGATGTTAGCAAACGAACATTATTTACAAATTTGATACCGCAAAGCCGGTTTACTATTCCTAATGAACGCCCCGCGAATACGTAGTATAAACAGGTACCTATGTAGGTGTGCCGCAAGTGAAAATGTAGAACTTTGTGGTTAAATTGTGATGATTAGGAATGTATAACGTTACAATATTACGTTACATAGACTGCTAAACACACGCGTCAATTTAGAACGAAATAGCACTCCCGCCGAGATATTCTAGAGAATTTACTCTTTGCTTACTTACCAAGGTACTTATAGGTATATTTATTGAAATTGTACTCTCCATTGTATCGAGCTTAGCAAAATGCGTAATTATAGATATAAGTAAGTATTAGATCCGTTATATCCGTATAACGTTGATTTTGTTGCCGATTATTGATAGTGCTTTGTGAGAAAAATTGTGAAAAGTAAAAAACTTTCATTGCATTTAATACCTAAGCCATAAAATTCTACTCTATGTTTACTTACTCATAAGTACCACAAATCGTCGAAAAATATAAAAATGAGCTTAAAAATTTCATTAAAGTAAATTTGGAAATACGGAAATAATTCTCTGTCTGTCTGTCTGTAAAGTATAATATAGGTATGTAAGAAGATCCGTAGCTGTATATCATTGATTTCGTTGCCGATTATTGATAGAGCTTTGTGAAAAACTTGTAAAAAGTAAGAAACTTTTATTGCATAATAAGTAATAATAAGCCATGAAATTCTACTTTTTATTTACTTACTTACTCATAAGTACCACAAATCGTCGAAAAATATAAAAATGTGCTTAAAAATTTCATAAAAGTAGATTTGGAACAACGGAAATTATTAAGGTCTGTAATAAAGAATAACGAGCTATCATTTACTCGCCCAGTATAAGGTTATAAACGAATCGCAGTAATGAGAAAGCCAGTGTACAGTTTCGCGCGTTTTTTCTCTATTCAATATCATTCGCAAATTAATTGGAGATGGATACCCGAGCCTCGCTTACTGTATCCAGAAAAGCATTTTTTTTATTATCCCTACATTTCCATCACAATATCAACGATTGCAACTTTTATATCAATTAGCTATGATTTTTTTTCGTATATTTTTTTACCTTTACTTTGGTAGTTCTAACTGTTGCTTTTTAATCATGAACGTGTATTTTGATAGCACTGCTTAATGAAAACAGAGTGCATTTATAATATTTAATTTCAACATTATTAAGTCTAGTTTTATTTGGTAGGCTTTATCTTAATCAGGGCTGATTTTTCAATGGTTAGATAAAAGTTTTCTGGGGAATAATTATGATGCTGTCGCGTTAGATAGAATGTTTGTATAAGACAGTGAGAGCATCAATTTAATTCCTCAGATAACATTTATCTGACTATTGAAAAATCAGTCCTTAATGAACTGAACTTTATTGAGTTAGGTAAAGGCATATTTATTAACCAAACTATTTTCATATTTCCAGCTGATGAATGTTCGTGGTGCAACAAGAGCCTCCCCAGCGAGGGTTCAGCGCTCCAGCATGCAGGCGCCACATTTTGCTCAGAGCTCTGCTTCAGTCAGTCCCGTCGCGCCAACTTCAAACGTGCCAAGACCTGCGACTGGTGTCGGCATGTTAGACATACCGTCGCTTATGTGGATTTTCAGGTAAGAAGCAATAATTTGGTTTTTACTACAATATAACCCTTTTAAAGTCTTTAAGCAACCCTGACTATTTATAGCTTTAATGTTCGTACTAATGATTTTATTGGAATAAACAAAAGCAGGTATTTTTATAAATGCTTACCCAAGCATTGCAGATTTCAAATATTGTGTCCGCTCATATGATACTTATTATGTACTATGTACATAGATATAAATAGTTAAATAGCACTAAATCTAACATTTACTTTCTCTCAATTTCCAGGACGGTGCCACTCAGCTGCAGTTCTGCTCGGACAAATGTCTCAACCAATACAAAATGCACATCTTCTGCCGAGAGACACAAGCCCATCTTGACCTCAATCCACATTTAGTCAATGCGTCATCGTCATCCAACCTCATCACTCCTGAACTCTGGCTCAAAAACTGTAAAAGTAGATCAGCATCGCCAACTTCCGAACGCTCAGGATCGCCAAATCTTGACAACGTTCCCGCCAAACCAGTCACCACTGAAAAGACAGAAGTTCAAAAGACCCAAAATAGATCTCCACTTCCTTTGATAACCATTGCTCCAACAGCAAAGCTGATGAAGCAAAAACGTCCATCTGACGAAACGATACCAGTTCAGAAGTCTCCAGAAACGAAAAAAGACGTTAGGAATACCAAAATGAATCTACGTAAACGTAGAACCTCAAAATGTTCAGCTACGGTCACGTCACAGACGGTCCGGCAGCGAACTTCAACCCCGAAGGCGCAAGATCTTAGGATGTGCAGTCCGTCTGACGGATCATCGCCAGCATCGACTGTTGGAAACGCTCTACATTCGCCGCCGCATCAGATTAACGCTCATCCTCCACCACCACCGTTTCCTCCAAACCCAATGTTCAGCATGCCCCCACCGATGTTCTTGGACAACCACGATCCAAGGCACCCTCATAATATGTTCCCACCGCGGCTAAACTTCATGCCTCGGCCAGGATTCCCATTGGAGCGACCTCGTCTGCCAGGAATTCCACCACCGCTAAACTTCCCCACTCCCATAGGTCAGGCTCCTCCCGTCACAGTATTAGTCCCGTACCCAGTCATCTTACCGATACCCCTTCCTATTCCGATTCCAATTCCTTTCTCAGCGTTCGTCCAAGCTCATTGTGCGAATAAAGTAAAAACTGAAAACAGACCAGACACAGCAGACACGGAAGGACCTTTAGATTTTACAATGAATAGTGACAAAAACAGAAGAGAAGAGGAAACATTGGGATGTAGTAGTGAGCCAAATTCAGAGACTGCTTTAGATAAGAGCCCACCTTGCGAACAAAATAATGAACGAATAGAAGAAGATAAAATGGACACTGAAATGAACGAGACTGGAAATCCGGAGCAGACTTTGCCCAAGTTCAAAATTACTAGATTGGGGAATAAAATGGCAAAAATAGTAGCGAAGAGTAGAGAGCCGTCAGAATCCACACGACCGCTGCGGAAACGGCGGAGACTGGTCGAAGTATCGACGGATGATGAAGCGCTCATTCCAAAGACGAGGAAAATAGTTGAAGTTTAAACGTAGAGTTGAAATAACCCCACTATTCTCTGATACATATCACAAACGCATGATAATCCGAACCGAGTTCATTATACTTTCAGGTTGCTAGTCTTTAGTTGTAAGATGCTATTAAAATTTTATGTCTTAGGTTTTAGGGCGCACTGTAAATGTGATATTAGTAACTTATTACTTTCAATGTATGTAAAATAAAAGATATTACTACTCTAACGCTTAATTTTATTGGTTGGTGATAAAATAAACGATAATAAATCCCAATCCTTGATGAAAATATTGAACAGCATTTCGTTATCGTGTTGGTATTTTATATCACTTTTATTGATATTGATGGACGAGCCTTTCATCATTATGATAGCGAGGCTAACATTAGATGGCATAGGTCAGACAATGTTTCTTAGCTATGATCTACTTACATAGTAAAGTGGGTGCTAGACAAAACAACAGAAAAATAGGGACACTTGATAGTAGTAAATGGCCTACTTATTGGCTCTAGCAATTAAGCCGTAATTCTGGTACCTAAGTAGTACATGCTAAAAATTCTGCTAATGCGAAACGCGTAATGTTGTTAGCAAAACAAAAAACAGTAGGTACAAGTAGTTAGTGACATTGTTCATCCGGTGCGATAGCTCCTATCTCGTATCAATGACCTATCTGCACCTAAGTAATAATGTTTTCATAAACAACATCTATGCATAATCTTATACTAAATTATTGCCTCCTGAGTTGTTTAATCGCGTGATGGATCTAATAATCTTATCAGCAATTTCTTTGTCATGATCCATTCCTGAATATCTTAACATTGTATATTTGATTTCAAGTTAGGAAAGTTAACGGTCAATTGTGCTGAGTTAATGGTTTTAGGCCAATTAGCTACATGATGAGTCTCATAACTATCGATCAACACCTTAACAAACTCCATACAGACCTACACATATTACCTATCTAGAAAGATACTTAAAAATTGCTAGACTGAAGAAATAAAAACACTTTTATGTGTAGGTGTGTGTAACTGTAATACAATGTCCTCTGTAATAAATATACTCAAATACTACTGTTCTAAATAAATTTACTTACTACTGTTAAGCTACATCCACAATGAATATTTGACTCATTGTGGATGTAGGTAGGTATAAATAAAATAAAATACTTATGTCCACTAATATGAAGCCGGGGCGGGCTGCTAGTATCTAATATTGCAACCTATTATCATAAAGTGAAACACGCAATGATGCTAAGAAATGTAGTAAATAACACGTTAAGATCATACAATGTAATATAATATAGGTACAAGTTATGTTCAACATGGACATTTTATAAACTCTGAACAACAGATGTTCTAATTCACTGGAAAATAATGAATCATTCATTAATGTAGATTCAGGTGCAAAACATTAAGGCGATGATATCGTTGCGCAATGTGTGGAATGATATCTATAATAAATAAAATAACTTTAATAAAAATTATAGGCTTTTAATGTCTCCACTTAAAAATCATAGCTAAAAACCAATCATGGAAAATATTGATTGCTATTCATTAACAACATGTTCTTACAACTAATAGCGAGGCCACACAATGTGGACATTACCTTCATAAATTGAGGAATTTGTACATTCTTGAGATCCAATCATTTCAACATTACATATTAAACATTACTTATTGCATTCTGTTAAATTATATCTTCAAATAATTAAAGCACATTCGGATGATACACATTACATGCGTCGTAACAATTAAAGGCAATACTGGCATCATTTCGTTGATAAGTACTCCTTTTTAGAAGTCTATGAAATTCAAACTTGGCAAATTGTCAAATGGGAAAATATATCACCGCGCTCAAGATAACCTGTCGCCTCCTGGTGCACTAATGAGTAGAAACCTTACTTTAGTAACTAAGTAAGCAAGTTGATTGAAACTGAGTACACATTGGACTACTTTAAGCCTAGTTTACGATACTGTACTCATGCGAGACCAGAAACACTAACAGGTCAGATGCAGTAAACACCCGAAAATAGTGAAAAGTACTGTGGCCATTCCAAGTTTGACTAGAATGCTTTTATAAGTATACATGTTTTCGGAGTTACCACAATCTGAGCTTGGTAATATTCTATAATCTACTAGAAAAAGTTAAATGCTTTACTGTTTGGTATTATACAAATCCCACAGAGTTATAGCACCATCAAGTCCTCCGGCAGCCATTATCTTTGCATTCCAAAACGACACCTTCTCGGTAGAATAGACCACATCTTGGACAGCTTGCTTATGCTCTGTCAGTACTACCAGAGGTCGGAGAGAAAACCAGGAGAAAATACGAATATGGCCATCCCAACCTCCAGAAGCAAACACCTTTCCATCTGACCGGGTCTGAACTTTGTTTGTACCTGGGTTCTTAATTGTTATATCCAACTTGTGAGCCAAGCTTAAGTCTTTTCTCCCTATACTAAAGATCTGTATCACATTCGAGGCATTTCCAATCATACCTCTTTGCTGTTCAAGGTGGAAATCAACTGACATCGGACACTCACTGGTCTTCAGCTTGCTGATACATTGACTAGTGTTGAGATCCCACAGGAGGAGCCATCCTGCTTCGTATCCAGCCAGCAAGCAAGGCCGATCGCAAGGAAATTCAATGAATTTCAAGCACATTGGTTCTCCCAGCTTCAGTGATGAGTCTGGCTCCAAACAACCTACTTTTTCTCCAGAAAAGTTGTAAATATGAATTTTAGAATCCTTGTCAGGTACATAGAGTGCTTCGAGTTTTGTGTTGGCGTCAAAACGGCAGAAACCAGGGTAATCAATGTCGATAAGTGCATCTTCCTCATATCCAGAGTTTGTTAAACTAAATATTTTGAACTTGCCGCCTTTCTCCTGCGTTATGAGATGATTATCTGTATGAATGAGGTGAAGAATTGGAGCTTGACCAACTTGGATTTTCTGCTGCACACGATTTGTCTGAAAACATTAGGTTTTTACTTATTACCTTCATATTATATTCACAATTTAGTTTTTGTTTTAATGGCTAGTATGTAATTTCACTATTTTAATATTTCTCATGCAAAGATCCATTCTTATAGGACTTTTTTTTGTGAGGGGAAAATCATCAAATGGCTTTTCCCGCCCAGGGCCGGGCAGGAGGGAGTGTCAGACTCTTACTGACTAAAAACCCCCCCTGTTCCTTCTCCTGCTCTGTGCCGAGGTCGCGGTGCCTGATTGCGCTTACCCCGCAACCCCGGTTATATTCTTATAGGACTTGCCAGTAACACTTATCCAATTAGACATAATGAATTGGACAAAATATATAAATTATTATTTTTGTTTCAATTACACTTGTAACAAAATTGTAATTTAATTCATTAGTAATTGTCTTACATTTTTCGTCTTCAGGGACCATTGTTTAAGTAGTATTTTAAAAGTGCTAAGCAATGTTATGTCTTATTTCAATATGTTAAAATTGAATTTCAAATGGAAATGTCCAGTTTTACATAATATAGAGACAGAAAGGTTCAATGACCTAATAAAATAAATAAGTACGTTTCATGTTTTGATTTGGCAAACGGTTTGCCCGATTCTAGGTCGCGAATCGAGGGTAGTAAACAAAAATGTCGCACATTAAATGGAAGCCATAGGACACGTCATTAATGCCTTTTGCGCAGTTGTTTAAGTAACAAATTCTTTTGAAATATGTATGTGATCTTACCTGAAGGTTGTATGCATAAACGTAGCCGTTTTTTGAGCCGGCTAGTAACCTCTCGAGACCGCCAGGCAAAAAGCTAAATGCCAACGAATAAACAGGAACGTTGTCCACGTTCCTGATCGTATAAACAGGGTCTGGAGGTAACAGCGCCATATCTGGTCAAGCTCGTAACGAAATTATTTGTTGGAATTGGTAAAATAAAATAATAACAAAATTAATCAAGCCATCAGAAACTCAACCACAACTACGCACAACACAAAACTGACAGAAAAACAAAAAAGTTCGGTTCGTAACAATCGGTGGCGTTCAAAACGTAGATGGACTGAAATTAACATTCAATGACTGTTACTAACAGACAGAACCACTAAACAAAATGATAAAACTACAGAAGTAGTAGCTAATAGGCTCTGTTAAAAAATAATATATTAAAAAATATATAATTTATTTTGAAAGGTCACCTTTAATTTCATTATTGTATTTGTTAATTATATTACCTGACTAAGTATTCGATTGCAAGTTTGGAAATAAAATGTCACTGTTTTTTAATCTGTGCTCTAAAAAGGATGGGACACCTTCATTTTGCTTATATCGATAAGAAGTCGTTATAAATCGATTCTTTATTTTATTTGATACTGCTACTGGCTGATAGCTTATGCAAAGTTTTATGGCCGTCATAAGATTTAATCCTACATAGGGTTTCTTTATAAGCATATTATACAAATAAAAAAATATCTTACTGTTACGCCCATAGCCAGCCGGGATTGTGGTTCACATCGCCATCAGCCAACAAATGGCACTCCATTGCTGTGCAAAGGGTTCTTATTTCAGGAAGAAGTTTCGAGCATTAATCACCACGCTTGCTCAAGGCGGATCGGTGATTAAAAACTTATCATTAGAAATTACAACTCCAGGTTTCCTCACGATGCCGCGATACTTTCCTTCGCTGTTTGTCAATGGTATCTAAATGCAGTTATAAACTACATATGACTTAGAGAAAGTCACACACATCGGTAATGCCAACTTTCAAACTCGTACTTTCATGCATGAGAAGCCACCATGATTTATAGGATTGCGGGTACACTTACAATAAAATACCGCGGCCCAAGCCCGAGGCAGGTGAAGGAACGGGAAGGTTTTAGTCAGAAAGAGTCACCCCCATAAGACCACACCCTCAATTTTATTACTATTAATCGAATCTATATTTTAGCGTGGTGAAAACATTTATTTTATAAGAGAACCACTAAAATATATAAAAATATAAATAAAGTGGCTACTGTGTCACTTTGGTAACCGTTGATTTAGCCTGTGTGTGACGGAGCAGGCCCGCCTATAAGCGGCTTATTTACCTTTACCTTAAAGACATCCCTATTATACTATTCGGAAGCATGAACAGGGGTCATCCCTGTCATCTCGTTGATTTCATGAGTGAGCCGTTAAAATTGACTAAACAAGTCAATGCGAGGACTTTTATAAACTTCTGTCTTCTGTAACAATAATTTGGTTAATAAAGTCCTCTTTCCATTAAAGAAAATACAGTGTTTTATTTAAAAATGATTTGTTATACATCCAATATTTGTATCGACCATTTATTTAATTTGTAATAAAACTGTTATTACTCGAATTCAGTCTACTGGTGTGCTAAATCGAGTTATCAACGCACTTAATAGCACAACACTAGTGTTCTACCATCAGCCTGTCAATCACTTCACTGCGTCAGTTTCTCTTCGCAAGCAGTATTATCGTGTTTTATACTTTGATGGATTTTTGAATGAGAATTAATTGATCTTACCTAATAATGGGTGCCATATATAAATTAAGGAGATTAATTTAATCCTCGAAAATACAAATGGCTGCGGAATCGCTTCTGAAAACGGGCAAGCATTCGAAATATACATCGTATAGAAAAATCTTGTATCATAGGTTCTTCGTCGGCCTACTCTTGTTTATAGTGGTATCTTTAGTGTTTACAGTGGTGTTTAATACGTTTTCTGGTAGTGCAACGCGGATAGATGTGTATCAAGCTGTGAATTTGGACTCGGCAAGTTTTGAAGTGGTTAAAATCAGCAGTAATGCTCTGGAGGCGCATCCTCGTGTCTCCAATTGCACTTATTGGGACTGCGTCGATGTCTACAGATGTGGGAAAGGCGGCCACAACAAGATAACAATATACATATATCCATTAAAAGACTATCAGACTGAAAATGGGAATTCTATATCAAGATTTTCTAAAGAATTTTATATGATATTAGATACAATAAAACGTAGTAAATATTACACGCCTGACCCGGAGGAGGCGTGCTTGTTAGTACCTAGCATAGATACTCTGAATCAAAATAGTTTCTCAAGCAAACATGTTGCACAAGTGCTGCAGTCTTTGCCATAGTAAGTAGATAATGATAAGCTTACCTATTTGTATACAAACACACTATTGTGTCTCTCTATTTATAGCAAATGAGGCTACCAGTGTTCATACAACACTTCTTATATCTATATTGAATATTACATTTCATAGTACATCAAATATTGAAACTTCTAATACTAAATTGAGGTATCTAAGTGAAATAAATATTTGTATTGACTTACTACAATTTTATAATACATTAAATACTACAACTAGGTGCTAAACTAGTTAAAAAAATATGAGTAGACAGTATAGTAATTATCCTTAATTAAAAAATAATGCAAGAACATAAAATACATAATACTACAGTTTAATTACTTATAAGTTTGTTTCACTTCCTACATTTCATGTGTCACACATCAGTTTAATAAAAAGCAACAATTACCTAATGAAATAAACATTATCGCTTCACTAATAAAATGTTTTATTCAACAGTTGGAACCACGGTGAAAACCACCTTATATTCAACATGCTGCCAGGGTCAGCACCCAATTACAACTCCGTTGTGGACCTTAACACCAGCCGAGCCATTATAGCAGGAGCTGGTTTCAACACATGGACATTTAGATACAATTTTGACGTATCAATACCAGTGTACAGTGCTATTGCGGAGACAATCGACAGCACACAACCAGAACGAAAGAAGTACCTTATAATATCAACACAGCTCAATATACCACACAATTATTTAGAAGAATTACAGAACATTGCGTCTTCGTCCAATGATCTCTTGTTGTTGGACCGATGTAAGACTGACAAGACAGATTACAGTAAAAGGTGTGAGTACACCACTGGTACACAGTTTGCTTACCCTGATGTCCTGAAGGATGGGATGTTCTGTTTAGTTGTAAGAAGTGCAAGGTTGACGCAAGCTGTGTTAATGGATATTCTCGCTTCTCAGTGTATACCGGTAGTGATTGCGGACTCAGTAGTGATGCCATTTAGTTCACATGTGGATTGGAATAAATTAGCACTGTTTATACCGGAAGATAATATAAAGAATTTAGTTAAGATAGTCCATTCAGTGAGCAAGGAGCGCCGTGGGGAGCTCTACTGGCAGCTAAGATGGGCATTTGATAGATATTTTGCTAGTATAGAGAAGATAACATTGACTGCTTTAGAGATAATTAATGAGAAAGTGTTTGCGTTGGCCGCCAGGACGTATGAAGAGTGGAACATGCCTGAACACTTGGTAAGAACATTTTTATCATATAAGTATTTTTTTTGTTACTAAGTTTTTGATCTGTTGATTAATGATGAAATGTGATAGTGTAGCTTCCCAATATAGACCTTTTCTCTTCTGTCTGCACCGCGCCAAATTTTGTATTTAACAATAAGCCACTTTTTTGGTTGATTCTTTTATCTGATTATGTTTTTCGCTTGGTGGGACACTGCTCATGAGGGTGCCTCAATCCATCCTGGTGAATCGGTCTAACAGAAATGGTACACAGTGTCTCTTTAGCCTCCTATGTTGCCTGTTCCGCATAATCCAAGAGCGAACTCATTTACGTGACTTGATAATCTGTTTTGGTAATTTATACGTTGTCTGTTGTTTGACGATCTTCTCAATATTAAAAGAATTTTTCAAATTGATCAAGTAGTTTCCGGGCCTATCTAATACATATAAACAAAGAAAGAATCAAATCTTTTCCCTTTACAATATTATATTAAGTAGTATAGATAATTATTTTACTCTGTAAACCGCGCGAGTGTGAATAACAGATGATTATGCAGTATTAGTAATGCATTAAAAATAATAAATATATTAATTTTATATTTTCTCATAAGGATACGCGTGAGGATGATAAAAATAACAATAGTCCAGTAAAATTAAGGTTTTTTATGAATGCGCCTAGATTGTGTGTGTTAGAGTACCTACAAGTAAATCATTATTGGTACAATGTATAAATAACAGGGTAAACAAGCGGAATAAATACCAAATGCTTAAGACAATATACTTATCTATAATGACTAAGAAACGTAGACCGTAACAAAAATAAATCCGAAATGCATCCACTTAAATTATCAAAACACAATTAGTATGAAGTAATAAACCCTCACTGACAGTGGCCATCCAACGGACCGCATAACCTTGTGGCCTTATGGCTTTTTCGAAATAAAGCCGCAAAATCGCAGTTGCATGCGGGCATCGCGAATTATCGTACCGTGAAATATTTACTGCATAAAAAATTTTATACTGTAAAAATCCGGAACTCCACTAGAATGCAGAAGGGAAAAATTTAATGCTAAAAGCCATTACCGAATATTAAAAAACTACAGGCCCTAAGCTAAGAGATGACTGCGCAAAAAGTTTCCTTACAATCCGTTCAGCGATTGACGCACTGAAAGAAAAACGTCGAGTCAGCTCTATTTTAGTCTTTTACCTTCCCAGATACAGATACTTACCTCAATGTATTCAATAAGTTTCAGCGATGAATATCTACAATGCTATTATTCAATTCTTTCTCATCTAAACGCTAGACATTTTATATTCCGTTCGCAATAAACCTAGAAACTAGAACAAGTGTAGTAGTATAGTAAATAAAAAATATAATGGACCGGTTTCCTGACTTGAATTTCGTACATTTATAAACAAGTTGTAAAGAGTAAGCTTTCAACGTAAACTTGTATTTAATTTAAATTAAAGCATTTTCTTTATATTCGCTAAACATTTTTATTAACGTTCTTAATATGAAATGCTTTCAACATTACGTAAAAAATAGCTTTACAATATGCTGTGCACGTGGTTTGTGACGTCATATGCAAATGCATTCAAGTCTGCACTGTATGTATGAGGGGGAATGCAATCATCGTGATCTCCGTATTAAGTTTCGATCAGAGCGCGACATCTCTTATGTTGTGCGACAGCATCGTCTCAGTCGCTGATTGGATTCTCTAGACTTTACGATTTAGAGAATTTTGTACATTATAAATTATGTTTTCGGCTTACTCACGTAATAATTTGACGAGATACTCGACTAGTTTCAAGCCATGCTAGAGGCCCATATTCATGAGCAGCATTCCGCGACACGCGACTCGGCGAGTAGCAGCGCGACAGTCGCCGAGTAATTTAGAATGTCTCACGAAAGTTATAATAAAAATTTTGTACATTGTATGCCCGAATATACTTTTCGCACAAAACAAAAAAATCCTCTAAAACATTAATCAAGACATTTAAAAAGTGTTATAAAATTGCAACACTCGAGAAACCGGGGCATCCTGCCTCCGTGCCGCAGCGAATCTAGTCAAAAACATGAATATTCAATATTTGCTTTTACGGCATAGCTTTTATTCGTACTTTTAAGTCCTTGAAAAAGGTCAAGCGTCAGCTAATTTGCATAGTGTGTGCCACGGACAGCTTTAATCTCACTTCAATTAAAATTTCTTTCACCTTATTCGAAGCTAAATAAAGTCGTTAATAATTCACATGAATAAAGCAAATCGTGTTTGGTGCATGCTGCTTTTAGCGCTGTGAAAGCATATGTATTAAATAATTATTATTTCGTACACAGCGAAGTCGAGTGACGGGACAAAGATATCTTAAAAATAAAAGTGAAAACTTATTAAAACTCTCAAAGTTTTGTGTCAATTGGGTGCTAGGTTTTCGTCTTGTCTCGTGTTGTTCGTTAACCACTGCACAAACTTCACTATGATTCATAGCACAGACTGTCGACTTTCCATCCAATTTGTCTACAAGTCGACGAGCTACCTCCCTCTCATATTTCCCTGCGTTATTAGAATATCTTTGTTCCCTATTTATCTTCTTGACATTACATTACACTTCGGTTTTAGTTACCTATGTATTTGATATAAGCTTCTGTAGCCTGTTTTTACTCGCTTCTCGGCTCAATCGTATCGTGATCTTTTAAAGCCTAAGCCTATAGGCTTCCTCGATAAATTAACTAACAAAGACAATAATAATTATTCAATTCGAACCAGTAGTTCTGGAGATCAGCACGTCCAAACAAACAAACTCTTCAGATTTATAATATTAGTATAGTAAAGATTTAATTGTATTGCATACATACATGCATGTGCTATATCCTTCTCAGGTCGCTAAAAAGATCCTGTTGCAAGTTCATCTTCATCTTTGAAATCCGTTTCAAATCTGGTTTGTGTGACCTTACAAAACTCGTTAACACCGGATAAATAATCGAAAGATATGGAAAAAGAAATACACACATATTTATCTATTTTCGTTTCAAGATTTCTATAATTATATTTCAAGGATACGTTACAAATACTCTGTTTTTATAGCTAGTGTCCAAGGAATTTCAACTTTCTGTTCGAAGCAGTTATTTTGATTTTAACTTATTAAAAGAAAATTAAATTTTGTATTAGCTATACATACGCGATTAACTATTTATAGTGTACTCGAATTTGTAAAGTCTATTCATTTCATTACTTATCTTTTTATACAGTATAACTGTATACTAATGTCTGTTGTCCTGAAACAAGATAAGATTCTTTATAATTAAAAATAAAACGTTTCAAATTGTTGTTCCGGGTCTGTGTGATGTGGCCCACGTAGGCGAAAATCCTAGTGTGCGACCACGTCTTTTTAAAAAAGAAAAAAAAACAGAAAAAAAACTATAGAATTTTCCAAATTTAAACTTAGTAAAAGTTCTTTTTGTAAAGTCGCCTATATACGCGCGTGTTTTGTTTACGTTCATTTGCTATTAACTGGTTGTTTACACCTACTTAAGTATATTGATCGCGATCTCTATAGAGGTTAAATGCAGGTATCAGTTGTAGGCCCCGTTAAAACCAGTTTCTGATGATCTGATCACAGTATTAGTTATCAGGTCAATGCATGTTCTTAGGTTTAGCACGAGGACGAACTGACTATTTTCTTATTTGTTACGTTTTGTTGTTGTTAGCAATGCAGAATTGAAATTGCAAGTTATTAGCCGAGTTATTACCGAGCAATTTGTGTGTTTTTACTTTCCTATACAAATGTTATAAAGAGGTAAAATTAATCTTTAACTCTGCAGCGCTAGTCTGATTTCAAAAATTATTTAACTGATATCTGAGAAGGTAGCTTCAATGTTTCTGGTCTCCATAAGGTATTTTTATGATTTTTATATAATTATGATTATTAATGATTTGGGTATTTTAGTTGAGCTATCGCTGTTAACGCTGCTGTTTTTGAAATCCTGGTATACATGAATACGGCGAAAGCTAGTATTAAGATAAAATCAACCCTACTAACTACTTGCTTACTACGGAAAGTTGAAATTCCTTTGGCACTGGCGTTTAGTTATTTACTGGCATTAACATAGGCATTCGAAAGGGATACATTCCATGAAACGAAAACTCCGGAAATTTCATGTGACTGTGTCTGGAAAACCGGATAAAGGCAAATCACAGAACGAATATTGGTCGAAAGTTGGAAGCTAGGCAACCGTTGCCAACCTTAGTTTGTGCGGATAAATTTTTAGTGGACTGTTAACTTTTAGCGGGAAAAGTTGTTTAATTGCTTTTAACATTAACGTATAGTAGAAACAATTGTTTGAAAGCGTACCAGCTAAATTGTGTTATATTCGTCGTTGGAATGTGTTATTCAACATTTTCAAACTGCAAATTAAGGCCAATTATGTCAGAAGTAACGTAATTATGGTGTTTCCATTTATTATGTTTTTGCTGGAAGAAATGACGAACAATTTTGGGGAATTAGGTTGCCTTTGTTAATTCGCCATTCTGTTAAAATGACCGAATAAAAGTACTTGAGACGTTTCTCTTGTGGAAATTGTCGTTTTTCGCCGTATCTTGAATTTGTACATTTCGACATTTACGTCCTACTTTATATTTTATATAATTTGACTATCATTTCGATCAATATTATGTAGATAAGCTAGTGACAGATATACCTTTAAGATCACCATAATATTGAGTGAAGTATGAGCATTGGAACAGAAGCTATAAATTTCAAGCTGCAGATACAGTTTCCGACCTAGATTTCATATCAGACTTGTTTGAAACTTGATTAAATTTTACGAGTTAGATCGAAACCGCTCGTAAAAGCTGGTTAAGAAGCTTACTATGGCTAAATAAGGAATATATTCACAAGAGGAATTGAACGTGTGTTTTGAAGACGAATCCATGAATAAGAGTAGTTATGACGGTCACTGTTACTATCTGAACAGCTTAAGGGCCTGTTGCACTGCGTCTAAATAGGCGCTGTGTATTAGACAATTTTAAATACAGAACGTAATTTGTATGAACTCTGTGATGTGGAACAAGTAACGTTGACTTTAAATATAGATTTAAATCAATACTTCAAGAAACTATAAGTATTTGAAACAATCACCCTAGTCTTACTTTAAAACTTCATAGATTATCAATCAATGACTATTTATTATATAACCAATATGTAAATAGGGAATAATGTATGGAGGTGGTAAAAAAACGCCTTTTATTTTAAAAGTCCTTATCTTTTTGTAGTAAAAACGTTCCAACACCCATATGGCAATTTATAAAGTCTCTCGACTACACATTTTATCTTTTACTCTGTTTAATATTGGTTTTAGAAAAGAGGTTTCGTATCTACATAAAAAATTGCTTTTGCATATTTAAATAAAATGGCACTTGGTAACTATAAAATAACGGACTCTCACGGCAGCGCTATTCAGATGCAGGTGTGAAAAAGAATTGGTTAAAAGTTGTTATTGTACTATCTCCTCCAAGTAACTGTATTAAGGTAACCTGAAATTAAATTGACTACTCGGTGGTCAAAATAATATAACGATACATTGGAACAAATATTTACATGACCCACTGATTTCGAGCTTTGGTTTCGAGCCCGTATGTGCTTAGTGGTTACGAAAAAGGCAAGCGATTTCATTCTGAATAAGAATGAGCTCTCGGATACGCAGATTTCTGTGGCTTCATATATACACAAGATAGAAAAAAAGCAATGGAAATTGTATAAGTTGAATCAGAAAATGGAGCAATGAGTATTATAATCATGTTCGAACTCATATGGAAATATTTTATTTAAACATGTGCACAATCTACATCTGAACTGCAGCCTGTAGCGATCCCAGATGTGTCCACTTCCGCGGGATGTCACGATTTTCTATGATTCAACACCATTGAATGTTATTTCAAAGGATTTCTTTTGCATAATATTCTCATCTGATGAAATTGGCGACTTGCTAAAAAAAAGGGTTCCCTTAACATATTTTCCAAGTTTTCGTCCGTGTGTTTTTGTAAGCAAATAAAAAATGTCCCCAATAAATTGGGTCAAAAGGTACGACGTACCCTTGATGCCCTCCTCTTGCTTCTTGAGTCTAAGTCACGTATCGGAAATCAGTCAAAGAGCCGACGTACATCGATGTGTCTAAATATATGCTCACCTTTATCACGAGAGGAATCCTCCGCTGGAAAAAACCGCCTTCTTTTAATTTTCCAAATAGCTTTTTGCTTGTTTTAAAACTTTGCGATTCGCTTCCTGAATAATGTAACGTAGCTGTGGAGACACTGAGATTCAAGCTTTTATCGCAAAGACGAATACTCGAATAAGGAAAAATCCTTAACGAGACGAAGCTTATTTTGCAAATGAACGTAATAAGCGTTGAAATGCCTATTGTCTTCTGTACTGTTAGCAACAATTAATTATACTCTGTAACAGAAATACTGGGTGGCACGTTATGTGTTTTATCTTTTCATTAATGACATATATGAAATAAAATTGAGCTTGACAACTGGTATTACTTTTTGACTTCGAAAGCACATACGGCGGTACTCAAATATTTGATTGGATGTATGCAAACTTCGGCTTATATTTGCGTTATACCATTATTTAACTCCCCGAGGTACACAGCAAACTTTAAGTAAACGTGTGAAGAACTATTATATGTTCAAGACTCAAAGATCGATCTTCGTTCCTGTCATTTAGTCTCAAGAGCCTCAAGATAAACATCATATAAACAAACTCACAATCCTCTTTACAATATTGGCAATAGATACCATGAGACATAGCGAGTTAGTTCAGGGAAGTTGTCGTTTGTATGTCGCGTACTAAGCTCCTTTATCCCCTACGATCCTGTATTGAGTCGGCCGCACATTCACGTAATATGAACCTATCTATAGATGTGTGGTACACTCCCAGGGGCCCCACATATACCTCATATTATTAGCCATCACTGGCTCGCTATCGCCTGCAGTGAGCGACAGCGCAATTTCCTAGTTTTTATTCAGGTCTGTGCACCGGTCCCATTTCGTACGCAGTTCCTTACTTTCAGTTTGACGTAGGCTGCGATTAAAAATCGCTATGAATTTTCCATTTTCGAGCAAGTACTGAAATGTCGGAAGTGAAATAGCCTGTATGGAAGCAAAATTTCGAATTGATCTCGGGTAATGGGAAAAGGCGAGCATTAATCCAGTACTTATTGCAGATTGGACATGTGTGATAGTACGTTTTTGCTTTCTGTATACACACATGTATCTTCATAATGGTTCTTTGTTATAAATAAATAATTGTATTAAGAGTCCCTCGGATATTCGATCCTTTTCAGGAATACAACCAGATGGTACAGGGAGATCGAGTGTGAAATTAGGAGTCAGTACGATGTTGTAATGTATAAGTAATTTCTATGTGAATCCGTTTTATTGATCGCCCTGGTTGTGTTCGGCTCTTTGTATTCTTTATCATACACAAGGTAAGTGTATTTTGATACTGAATTAATTTTTGTTTTTTTTTTTTTGTTATACAGTACGGTCCAGTGAATCCACTCTTCTTGCCGGTGACCGCGTCCAAAGCGGCTGGCTTCACCGCGGTCATACTGACGTACGACCGGGTAGACAGCCTGTTCGCGCTGGTGTCCAAACTGGTGCGGACGCCGAGCCTAGCCAAGATACTAGTCGTTTGGAATAATCAGAAAAAGGCTCCGCCTCCTTGTAAGTACAACTACTATAGATTCTAACTATCTGTCTATCGGTCGGAACGACCCATGTCTTTCATTGTCACTGAATGAGATCCATTACATGTGTATAGGATAAGTTTCTGTAGTGTAAGTTTTCCTTAAATTCTCGTTTTCCATTAATACACATTTTTTGCCATCGAAACTGTCTTTTTTGCTGAAACTACTACATTTTATTATGTATTGTATGATATCTCAGAATGAATCCCTATGACTGACGAACAGAGCCTTTTTGCTAAAGCCCCGCGTTTCGATTATTTTTTTCTGAGAATAGCTCAGACTGGATTAGAGTAAAAAATAAAGTGGACGTAGATGAACCGAATTTCTGAGTTCTAAATTAGTACTACAGTCACAACGGCTATAACATTTTGTTTGTTCATTGTTCCCTTCGAACTGGGATCGTGATTTAGTTCATTTAACTCCGTTTTAAGTTTACTGCTTTTGTTTACGGTGTCATTCAAAGTTTTTAGGTGTTATTCGTAACAAAGTAATTCAATGTTTTATTGCTGTAGTTTTTATAATGATATTTGTGGGGTTCACGCGATTTTGGCGTTGAAATCAACCTTGTCCATGAAGTCGTATACGTTTTTCGCTTCTATCACATGCCACATTGTGTAGTTGATTTCTACGTCAGGGGTTTTATTATCCCGTAAAACACGAAAACGGATTTTATAATGTTCCCCTTAGAATGATAATAGAGCTATTAGAATTGTAAGAAACATTTAAGTCTTGTTTCTGGAATGACAGGGCACGATAAGACATGCCTCTGGCATTGTAGATCACTTGGCTTTGTCGACCGCGATCTGCGCGTGTAATCTGTCTGTTTCATTACGTAAAATTATGCCTGTTTCTCTCTGTAAGGCAAAAGTAGAGGTTTATTTAGTTTTAGTACTTAGACTACTTAAAAAATAAAGATGCTCTATTTCGTTAGTCTGGTATGAAAACATTTGTAATTATAAAAGTCAAAAAGTCAAAAAGTCAAAAATCATTTATTCCAATTAGACCTATACAGGCACTTTTGAACGTCAAACAAAAATTTTGAAGATATAGTGTCAGTCTGTCGGTCAGTCCTCTTAGTGAAGCTATTTGCTCGTTTCAAAGTGTAGATTCCGATGGAGAAGAACGAGCAAGAAATTCCATGGTTACTCTTTTTAAATCAGTTTCACATACAGATTCCTTTTACAAACAGTTGGTTCAATTATGTGAGAACAGTGTAACACTAATATTTATTCAAATATAAAAATAAATAAATATAATTTCGGTTTACTGCATTACATCATTGAGACACGATCTTTTCTGTTGAGACGTATTTATACAATTTCCATTTATCCATTATGTGATAGAACCAGCCAATTTATTTATTTAAATCTTCCAATCACGTATAAGTCTCCTTTCAATGTTTTTATCGATCTGTGGCGATGTTTCTGCGTATACTCGGAGTGTTTTTTCATTCGATTCTGTTATGGTTTTGGCCCACCTTCCTTATAGCGACTTGCCCTTTTAGCTCATTAGGAAGTGCATTCAAGTCCTTGAAGGTAAGGTAAGGTGCAAGTTTTCTTAGCATTTTACTTAAACAGCTTCTGGAACAAAATAAGTGATTTGAACAAATGAAATGATTTAAGTGTGGGGAGCCATGCTCCGGCACGAATAGGTCAGCTCTACCGGAGTGATACCACGGCCTCACAGAAAACCGGCGTGAAACGTGTTTCGCCGTGTGAATGAGGTTACCGGAGGCCCAATCCCCAATCCCTAAACCCCAAAATGTCAGCAACGCACTCATAACGCCTCTGTTGTTGCGGGTGTCAATGGTCGGCGCTGATTGCTTACCATCAGGTAATCCGTCTGCTCGTTTGCCGACCTTTCACATAAAAAAAACGTTTCTGGATCTAAGAATGAAGCTTGGAACTTTTTGAAAGCTTTTTAAACGCAGTAGTTGTAAGCGGTAATATTTCCTGTTACAAAATAATACTGCGGACTGTTCTTGACAAACGGACCAAGCATAATGCTTTAATTGTTTTATGCGACGTAAATTGTTCCACATTTTTAACCCTTATTTAATTGCTCAGTTATGTTCACTTATGTCGTAATATTGTAATCGTGCAATCTTAGACCTAGTTTACATAAGTATACGTTATATTTTCAAGTGCACATTATATGAGTAGGTATTAACTATGTATGCCACAAATCAAGCCATAAATTTGTATTATGAGTTTTTATCTTTAATATTGCATTTTTATATCGTATCAACATATACTTTGCAAGTTTATTAGAATACATTACCATTGCTTCGCTAATCATAAACGTTTGAAAAAATATCGTATAATTAGCTTTGCATCGTTGATCTAGCTATCGTACTTATAAAGTTTATTTTATCCACTCTTGAGAACTAATATTACTTTGATTAGAGCCCAATATGACTTTGATAGTCTTGATAATGGTTTTCGATTTGATCATTAGTCCTTTTGTTATTACCGCGGATGCCTCACACGCCCTATAGGACCACAAGATCATCAATAGGGTCCATTTGAGGCCGATGCCTGGCCTGAGTTGCACGCAAAGTAAAATGATGTACCGTGGCCCAGCTCTGATTAGAGGGAGTTTTAGACTCTGATTGCTGATTCAAAGCCACCCAGGCTTTGAATCAGCAAGAGTCTGAAACATCCTCTCGCTCCACCCAGGGTGGAAGGAGTCATCAAATAATTTTCCCACACAATAAATGACAGGTTTTTAAATATCCTTCGGGACTGTTTCACTAAGGGCTGATTTTTTAATAGACAGATAAATGTTATCTGAAGAATTAAATTTAAATTATTGCAGTCACTGCCTTATACAAACATTCTGACATGATAGAATGTTTGTATAAGACATTCTGTCATGTGTTATACATGGTCTATTGGCTATAATTATGATGCTGTCAATTGTTCAGCTGGGGTTGCGCAATGAGGCACCGCGACCTCGGCACAGAGCAGGAGAAGGAACAGGGGGGTTTTTAGTCAGTAAGAGTCTGACACTCCCTCCCGCCCGGCCCTGGGCGGGAGAAGTCCTTTGATGATTTTCCCCTCACAAAAAAAGCATCATAATTATTCCCTAGATAACTTTTATTACACCATTGAAAAATCAGCCCTAAGTGCGAATAAGTATGAGTTCCTCTGACGGATATTTAGACATATTTTTCAAACGAATTTTTAAGACAATTTCTTTATTTGAATGTCACAAAGTATTATTTAGATTTCACAAATTACTTTTTGGATGTGCCATGGGATTTGCAATAGTGTTCGAATCTCCGGTGCATGAGAATAGGCTCATTTTTCCATTACAAGTGTTACAAGTAATGTGTGTCCTTTTGAAAGCCTTGCATTATGATGTTAAAAATATCTTGTTTGTTATGTCATGTGAAAATATCGTAAATGAAAGTAAAACTTAACGTACTAGATCGAAATTGTCGACGTGTGTAATCAACGAAGCCGCAATGAGGGTTTGCGGTGAGCAAATCATTTAGGGTTGTCAAACAGATGTTTATTACGCCAATAATAATCCCTTTTCATCGAATTGTCTTCAGTATGACTATGAGATTTCAGTAAACCCTGTTAATTATCTTAAAGGGTCACCGGGTTTTAATTCATAGGTCCCAAGCCTAGTAGATTTATTAAGTGGAATGTTAACCAAGTGCTAACCCTTAATGGTACGGTTAAATGACCCTCTTCGAAGTTCCCAACTATCTATAGTTATACCTTAGAAGTTGGGACGTGTCTTTTCACTTTAATTAGTTCAGGACAATCCCTTGGGAATTTTTAGTACCATGTGTTTGATAAAAACATGGTATATTTTTGCTGTGGAATTTGGGTGTAGTTTTGTCTTTATACGACTTAAAGTTTTGTCCAAAGTTTGAGATGAAATTAATTAATAAAAATTAATAGTAGTTAAAGAAAAAGTCAGTCCTGACTTCATAGTTTGATCAAAGGTTGTATCCAAAGATTGTCTATAAGAAATCGCATTTAGCGATAAGGTTGCACATTGATATTTTAAGTTTTCCTGTATATTTTTGTGGTGTACAAAAAATCGAAATAAACAAATACGTACATAAATTGTTTTCGCGTCTAGGATTTTACATAAATTTCTGATATATTTACGTGATAAAAACACTTTTATTTCTATTTGATTTCTACCACCGTACCACCTTTCATTTAATAGTTCACCGTTTCGTGTCTAAAATCAAGTCTTAATTCAACACGGTGCCTGCTGACAGGCTCGCCACGACAAAAGAGGCTGTAGGTTACCTATGTACATATAATATCTAGTACATATATATAGGTGTACATTCATCTATCGGGGTACCCATCAGGATAAAATAGAGCGTGATGTTATGTTTAAGATAGTGCAAAGGTATGTGCGCCTCTGAAACTACCGATCCCTTAACAGCAAACCCTTAGGTAAAAGGGATGCTTGTAAAAATCTCGCCTTTATTAACTTTTTTATACTTTCCTCATCTCGAGGGACTTGGTAAGAAAAATATAAAAGAAACAATTCCCTCTAGGGTTCACCTTTACTATATATTTAAATTAAATTCCATAGAAACACCTAAGTACTGCATACTGTTGAATTAGTTATACAGATTGTTATAAAAACTCATTGAATATGTACACGTGCGAAACACTAGATAAACCAGATATCAATACGCATGCAACTTGTATCAAAGTGTTGACACAGTTAACTATCAACTCTATTTTCTATCCAATAGGAATCATTTTAATCGATACTGTTCCAGGTGAATCTTTAGCCTGATGTGTGCAATTGAGTTTAAACTTAATCTTTTCGTGATTGAGATTTAAATTGCTTTAGTGATAGGATATTTATTCTGCATTATTTAATGTCTGGCGGTTAATTGTTGCGGTAAAGTGAGTTGATTTAAAAAGATACTTCGTTTATTTTCACTTTTTTTTCTCTATACTTAGTAGAATGCAATGACCCTTCTGTTTATGTTTATTTGACTCAACAGAGAAGCTACAATTCTATTTTTAGCCTTAATCAAATATGATTCAATCAATACCATGTTTCTTATACGTTTGTTTCTGAAGCTCAGTTTTCCGAACAATGATTTCTTTCACTACTTTATAGCAGTAATGAAGTAATAAATTATCGACTGTCTTGATTTGAACACGTGCGCCGCGAAAAAACCCGTTTACTCCAGAATTGTTTATGTATTATTTACTTAGTAATAGAGATTATCAACTGGGGGTTTGTTTTGAGGGAAGAAAATCATCATATGACTTCCCTCAGCTGGTGTAAGGCGAGAGCGAGTGTCAGACTCTTACTGACTAAAATTCACTCCGTTCCTTCTCCTGCTCCAGACCAGAGCCGCAGTAGATTTATGGCCCTTGTCTTCCAACTTTAAATTTTTTTATGAAATTACGCCTGTTTATTTTTTTTAAAGTTGAAAAACAAAGATCACACTTTATACAGCTAGCTCAATTGTTTTAAGTAATAATATGTTTTAACGTAATTAAAGTTATAAGAAAGACTTAACTTAATCTAGATTATTATAATTATGATGATATAGAAAGAGATAAACTTTGTAATGTAAAGTGCCTAGGGAACACCTGAACTAGATTTGTTTTTTATTTGCAAAAGCATGAGACGAAAGTGTTTCAATCCACACTTGTTATAAGACTTCTTGCACATTTCGTATGTCCAGCAGTAATGTCCTTCTAGTAGTTATGATTCCGTTTTAAATCACAAATTACAAAAATTGTACAATCGATATTATTTAAAACGATATAATAATGTAACGCCATGTTCAAGAATCGAATAACGATTCCAACTACTCTTATTTTATAGGTACCGTAACTGCTCATAATTTGGCAAAATCCCAGTTATGGCACAGGTATGCCAATATTGTAAAGACATAGTTAAAACTGATCAGTATCATTTCCTCCAAAAAGGCCAACAATATTCGTAAAAACAAATGAAGTATGTCCATAGGCCACGCTACCTTAAGTAGCATAGCATTAGATCCATTTTTAAATAAATAATAGTTGATGATAACTTGATTTTCACACCGTTCTTAAGTCAGAGTTGTCTTAACAAACACTTAAAAGTAAGTTGAAATCAGGAAAAGTCTCTCGCGAAATTTCAATCTTAACTTGTGTTTCAATGACTCTCGAAATTCTCCAAGTTTCTGCATGTAAATTACTAGCTAGTCTCGCGCGGTTTCACCCGCTGCTCGGCTCCATTTGATCGTAGCGCGATGTTTTATAGCCTATAGCACTCAGGATCATTGTAGCTACCTGTCAGTGAAAAAATTTTGGAAATCCGACCAGCGGTTCCAAAGATTACCCCCTACATGCAAACTTACAAATTTTACCTCTTTATAATATTAGTATAGACTATCTTCATCTGCGTGGTTTTACAAGCTGCTCAATTCCTACTGGTCGTAACCTGATGTTTAATAACTGAAATTAGATAGTTCATACTCACAAAAATAATGGTTGAATTCGAATCAGCAGTACCGGAGATTAGCGCTTTAAAGCAAATAAATCAAACAAACTCTTCAGCTCTATTATATTAGTATACTTACATAAAAATATTTGTAAAAGAAATTTTCTAATAGAAAAACAACTCTGTCCTGTCCAGGGTTTAGGACGTAGGTAAGAAATAAATCGGAAACGATTTATATCTGCGCCGGAGAGGTTTGTAAACGTAGTGATCAAACAGCGAGACTTATGGCGTCTGTACATGACTAGCTTTCTCCACAAATCATTGCTATACACTGTAATATATCTTTTTTATTACTGTTTAGTGGACTTACTCAACTACCAGTGGTCGCAAACGATATTGGGGAGCAAATAGTCTTTAAGTATTAACTTTGTATTATTCTAATTTTAAGGTAATTTATCTTGTTGATGACAGTCTCGAGAACTCCAACTTTTTCTAATATGGTAGTACCAAGTTTTTGCAAAAAGTTTACTTATTAGAATGATAAATTCACAACTTTTTCTTCGAGTGGGGAAAATCATCCATTGACGTCGTACGTCCTGATTGGCGCGAGAGCGATTGTCAGAACCTTACTGACTAAAACTACGCCCTTCCTTCACCGACCGAAACCGCGGTACATAATTGCACTTTCAGTCATGCACCCACCACCTGTGCTTCATCTTGACAGAATAGATGTTTTGTTGTAAGATAGTATAATATCAAACAGGTATTAGTTATATGGTATGCAAAGAAGACCAACGTTGATGAAGGTTATCATAATATTCTTAAGCTAGACGCGATGCGGTCATTGTACTCTAGTTTTCATCCATGCAAAATTGAACGTTGTTTTAAAAATTAAACACAAGCGCATCATGTACGTCATACCTCCTTTTGTGAGGAGTTCATAAGGTTCATTTTCTTGTGAGATAGTGAGTTGTTGCACTTTATCCTCCTAATTGTTTTATCATAGAATTATTTTCGACGTTATAAGTAAGAGATAGCTCGTTATCTGGCAGTGAACTGGATACAATAAATAATGACGCACATAGGAAGTCTCTCAAAGCCTTCGAATTGACAAAACAGTTTATTTCTGGCGAACGAAACGGGTGTTACATTGAATATATATACCCCATCGAACCCCGACACGACGGATACAATAAAATACTTGGAAGGATTGATATAAATTATTGACTAGCCAGCAGACCGTATTTCTTGGACAACACATACCATAGATTATTAAGCAAAAGGTTCCGTTCGGTTACTTTAATTCTATTTTTAAATGTAGTTAAGTCCATACGGACAAATTTAAAAGGCCTATCCTTTTAAATTTGGAATTAATGAAAAATCGTTTGTTGCAGCATCCGAATGGCCAGTTATAAACAAGCCGTTAAAAGTGATACGAACCAAAGAGAACAAACTGTCAAATAGATTTTTCCCGTACGACGAGATTGAGACTGAGTGTCAGCTGACTATTGATGACGATATCGTCATGTTGACGCCTGATGAGTTGGAGTTTGGGTAAGTGGTAGTACGTAGTTTTATATCCTTTCGATAATTATCTGGTGCAATAGATTATGCAGCCTATGGCTGCGTGGATAAGGTCAGAATTGCATTTGAGTGTGTTGAAAAACTTTAGAAGGAAGTTGGTCTACGTGTTATGGTTGTTCATTCTGCCTTCAGCTTAAAAAACAAATGACATAAACACTAGTGTGATCGAGGGAATGGAAAAGTCCAAGTCCAAGATTGACATTGTCATTGTCATTTGACAGGTTGTGCCAAATGCCAATGTCAAAGCTTATGTCAAATCCGTACGTTGAATTTTGTATTCACTGGTTTCGACCACTGTTTTTTTTTTAATTTTCGCCATTTGTCTGTGGTTGCTGTTCTGTAGGCAGTTTTGACGGGTTTTCCTTCAGAAAACTTAATTATGTCGTCGTGTTTCTTATCTTTTATTTTAGGTTACCGCTGACAATACCATTTACTACGTTAGTATTTTCGTATCTTTTGATACGATCCAAATCATATTTTTTATTATAAATTTACTGGTCAACTTATTTGTCATAGAAGCTATCGACAACTGAAGCTAGGTAGTGTCAACCTTTGTGAAAACTGTTTTATTTATTTATACCTTATATACAATTGCATTTCAGAGGACTTAATGCTAAAAGCATTTTCTACCGGTCATTCCTTTGAGACGTTTTTCTGAGAACCTTGTTAGACGTTTGCTAATTAATAAGTATCTGATAGAGAAAAATAAAAAGCTAGCACTGGATCGTTACTTTATAGTTTTTATATCTATCATGAGTTCTAAGTTTACTTAAATGAAAGTGTTTTAGTTTATTTTTGGTAAGAAATTTTTCAAATGACTTTTCTCGCAGGGTATCGCGAGAGGGAGTGTCAGACTCTTACTGACTAAAACCCGGTTCTCTAGGCCGAGGCTGAGGTTACCTTACCTTGACCCATAACCCCGGCTAATGCCTAATGCGGCTAAAGTACTTATATCCTAATATTCCTATTTCGAAAACTAATGTGAAGTGCCAAATTAGTATGTTATCGATAAGGACGTCAAAGTACTCGATAGTGTTAGTTTATTCATGCGAAGGACAGTTCAAGGTTAAACATGATTACGAATGTGTGTGTGTGTGTGTGATAATACTATTTGTAATAGACACGCGTTTGTGGAATTTTTTCGGAAGTATGCTAACCTACAAATAGGTTATAACTAGCAATATTTTTACGTAGCATTTCTTCGTAGTAACTCTCGAACTTTGTATTGTAATTATGCTAAGTAATTATTTCTTAGAATTTTATAGCTCTCTTATTTTTTTCTTCTTTTATTCGGGAGGTTTAAGGAAATCTGTTTAAAAAAATAACAGTTGTAAATTGATCTTCGCCCTAATGAACTAACCAAACCTTTTTTGTTTAAGCTTCTTTTAATAAAGTGATTTTTAATCTTTTGTGATCCTATTTTGTTGGAATGGCAAGTTAAAGTTTAGGGTTTTCTTGATTATCTTTTTTACACAGTGTATGATTTTTTTCTTCTAATTGTCAATAGTATAATTCCCATTTTATGAAAAGTACTAACTATAACACGGGATAAAGCCGGCCATGAGGCTATGAGCACGTTTCAGTCAACTTCACGTCACGTCACGTCACGGTCATTGACAAGTCAAAACATGTATTGCTGAGCGATACACGGACCTTTGTTCGCGCCCCTGAAATTGTGACTGATCGGAGACTTAACGATGACGTGACTGACATGCTTGTGTAAACGAACCCTAGCGGAATAATAAAAATGACGCTGTATTATTAACAATAATTTTTCCTAAAGTTCTTTTATACGCAGTTTCGACACACTCCAATTTTAACACATGCCACCTGCATAGTATTCTTCAGCGAGGGAGATGTGGAAATGTTAATTATACAAAAATATTTTCGACGTCCAAAAGTTTTAAAGCTACTTTCACCTGAAGTTTCCTTTGTGCGACAATTACGTTTCCCGGAATCTCTTTTCGCCGCAGGTTAAAAAATGCTCTGTGCAAATAAACATGCTCCCTAAGTATGATACAAGACAGGAAGGCTATTTATTTTCCCTGTTCTACACGTTCCTTGTGAACGGGTTTGCAAAAATTAAATTCGCCGGCGGCTAGGCAACTTCAAAAGTAGGGGTACATAATAAATAAATGCTTGACTGTTCATATTTGTTGGTAAATATTGTATTTTCGTTTGTACAGGATCCTATAGAAGTTTTAGCCCTTTACGATGTTTTTTGAGGTTTTTGCGTGTGTTCTTATTTGATAAAAGAAAATAATTCTAGTAGCATACGAATTTTTTTTTAATTATAAGTCGGCAAACGAGCAGACGGATTACCTGATGATAAGCAATCGGCGCCGCCCATGGACACCCGCAACACCAAAGGAGTTACGAGTGCATTGCCGGCCTTTTGGGGATAGGGGTTGTGAATATAAGGATCGGGAAGGGATAGGGGAACTATCCCTTCCCGATCCCGAGGGGATTGGACCCTAGGGGCGAGATTGGGCCTCCGGTAACCTCACTCACACGGCGAAACACAACGTTGTGGTTGTTTCACGCCATTATTCTGTGAGGCCGTGGTATCAATCCGGTCGAGCCGACCCATTCGTGCCGAAGCTTGGCTCTCCCACACTTACTTTTATACTCTTTAGGCCAAATAGCTGACTTATTTTACACGGAACTGGAAATTACTACAAGCTAAAACAGGACTGTCGGCAATTGTTTTTTCAAGTTTCCTTATTAAATTATTCTACCCGCAACGTAATTCGGCCGAACTTCCGAGTGGTCTTGAAACATTAATATTGCCGACTCAATAACGTTACTGTCTTCACAATGAATAGATAAATGTAGGGATGTATCGATCTCCATGAGAGATGTATTTAGATGATTATCATCGTTTTACTGTCTCGTTAATAAATAACCACAGGCGTTAAATCAGTATCCATTCTCAATTAGGACGTTTTTTCTTTGGTGGGTGTTAAAATTCTCTGTCACAAAAGACTCTTAGACTTCCTTTAAAAAAAACCCATCGACAAATCTGATTATATTTGGAATAAATACATACCCTCTGTCTTGTGAAAAAACTGAGATCAGTTGTTTGTTATCGACAACGTTTCATCGGATCCACATTACATCAAAACACATCAAAGCGTGGCACTTTGTTGCGCCATTTTATTTCCTATAAAATTGTTGAGTTGGCCTTCGGACAAAACAAACTAAAACTGGAATTAGGCCGTCGTTGTTTGACGAAGGCCTGGATTGTTTAGGATAAAGTAGCTGCAGTGAATATTTGCTCGCATTCGAGAATTCAGATTTCGTCAAGCGTGTAAAGTTTGTTTGAGGTTTCTAGTGTTGTTATTTAATTCGATTTAAATCGAATGATCGAATTTGAGATGGAATTTGAATTTAGAATTGTTTGTATGTTGCAGCTTAATATACTGACTGCTTTGTAGCTTTTGTGATCAGCCGATTAATGTGCAGCCGATAAGGTGTATCGGGTACAATTCCCGCACGGAACAACTCTTTGTGTGATTCACAAATTGTTGTTTCGGGTCTGGGTGTGATGTGCATCTGAAATTGTATGGGACATAATCGTGAGGCAACGTTCAACAAAATCATGAGGAGCCTAGCTCTGATGTGCTTATTTTCTTTCTGCCCTTACCTACTTAGGGTCTTCACATTAAGTCTAAATGAGCTGTTCTTTCCAAACAATTTCTTCCTCTCATAACATTCTTCTTCCAATCTAACCCATATTTTCGTGGTTTATTAGAAAGAAAGAAAGAAAGAAAAATCATTTATTCGGTACAACACCAGGCACAAACTATACAATGCAAACAAAATAACTATGAATAAAAAAAAATCAAAAAAAGAGCACAAAATATGTAGATGTAGGTAGGATATACAAAAAATTCCAATGTTAAATACATTAATAACAGTGTTACATCTTTTTGTGTGTGTATTACATCTTTTTTCATTTACTAGATGTTTAATTAAATTTAGTACTTCTGCCGCACGCTTGTTTTGTGTTACTTGTATGAATGTACTTTCTAATGTTTCGTCGAATTTTCCCAGTGAATGATTGTAGTGTAACATTACCCAATTTTGAATTTTCCTAATGTTTCCTAGAATCTGATTGCGAATGCTTTCATTAGTAGTATTGTTCGTTGGAATTTCGGGTAGTCATATCGTTTGATATTAGTGTTCGTGTATTAATATCGCTTTATTACTCGTACATAGAATATCTCTAGAGTTAGATTCTTGGACAGTCTATTGTATTGATTTTGTCTTATTTATAGCGTTATCGACATTATCACTATAAAATAAAGTAGTTTTCTCTGTCCCTGTGTATTATGCTTAAATCTTTAAAACTACGCAACGGATTTTGATGTAATTTTTGTTAATGGTTAGAGTGATTGAAGAGGTTGAAGAGGTAGCTTTATTAACACTCATTAACTAGTGCAGAAATTTAGTTTCAGTACCAATGAGCAGACCGTGCTAATCCGGGGCGGGTCGCTAGTTTGTAATAAAAATAAGGTTCATATTTGTATCTGTTTTTAGTAATGACGTGAAAATGTTACTCTTAACATAACTAGCGAAAAGTGAATTAAACTGTTTTTACCGTTGGCGTAATAAATGATGTATGTGACAAACCACTAGAGCTAATTGTATCGTTTTGTGTTCTTTTTCTTGTTGAACGACAGTGTGGCGCCGTTTATAATACAATTACTGGTTGCATGCGATAATTGTAATTGTTCGTGGTAGAAACAATATTTGTATCTACGTACTTACCATATGTAATATATGTATTATATACGTAACATCACGAATTTAGGGCCTGGGCAACTTCAACAATCTGTCACGGTGTCGATCCCGCACGGAAAAACTCTTGCGATCCTCAAATTGTTGTTCCGGATCTGAGTCTATCTAAGATTTGTAAACGCACTCACGACACAAGAGAAAATACGAGTGTGGGGTAGCGTTTATGA